GAGAGTTTTAAAAGCTCAAGAAATTTGAGAACTATTCCACAAAAATGACAGTAAGTGAAGTCCATTCATGTCATGTAGGAAAATATATGCCCTTAGGGGGTGTTTGGTTCAAGGATTGTGGGATTCCCATGGGATGTGAATCCTACATTCCCATGTTTGGTTGGCCGGGAATCTCATTCCCGGTAATGTTTTATTACCAATAGTAGATTTTTTGGGGTATATTACCGGGAATGTCAGTACCCCTTCCCTTAGGTATTGTAACATTACCGGCGTTTTTGACTAAAATGCCCTTAAATTTTTATTTTTTTTCAAAAATATCCTTATTTTGTCATTGAATAATAAAAATTCTACGAATGTTAAATTACAAATTTATCTTTAAATTAGTTTAGATTTACAAAAAAAAATCTATAATTAAAATTTTATATGAAGTTCAGGGGTTAAAAAAAATTACCCTTTCATTAAACCTTTTTTATATTTTTAATTTTGTAAAAAAATTATATAAATATTATGAATTTAATTTTTTTAAATAAAATATATAAATATTTTACAATTTGTAATATTATACAAATATATAATAAGGACAATTTGGTCAAATATACATTCCAATAATCTTTTATTCCTTTAACCAAACACGGTAATCTTACATTCCTGCTAAACCAACCAAACACAAAATACAACATTCTCAGTAATCCTATTCCCTGGTAATCTTTTATTCCCACTGGTAATATTACATTCCGTGAACCAAACGCACCCTTAGAAATTCCCACAGATTGTGGAAATGAAAGAAACAATGGGCACTTTGTTCATGTTTGATGATTAGGTCTCATTGTTGGTGTTCTCATCAACAATCATGGTGCCAAGTTGCCAACTTTCAAAGATGTTTTACTTTTTAGTTACTTTTCATAATGGTGAGCATCCGGCTAAACATGAAGATTCACTCGAAATTAAGAGGACTTTGAAAAAAAATTATTAGACCCGAAAATTGACTTCGGAAAATTATATCCGAATTAAGTGACTTCACGGTAAAAAGAAATGTTGTTCTCTCTTGAGGTTTTGGGTTCTAGCAGTTACATCTACATAGTATGTGTCCATTGTCAATTGACTAAGAAAATTCTGAATAAATTCTACGTTGTAATCATCTTAAAATGAGAAAAATATTTTGAACCAGTCTGAGCTTCGTCTAATCATTTACAAATACGAGAGGGTTTGAGTAAAAATTGAGGTACGTATTTTAAAGGCATGATACTAAAAAAATGCTCCTAACATTGACTAAATAGTCATTATGGACTCTCATTCTTCTTTTTTTTAGCATTTTGTCCCCCCAATATTTCATTTTAGTGCAAAAAGTTCATATTTTGAAGCATTAATCGTTTATTGACTAATGATTTTCATTTATGGAGAAACCTTTTTACCCCAAAATAAAATATTAAGGGTCAAAATACTCCCAAAAAAAGAATAAGACTAAAGTGACTATTTAGTCAAACGTTATGAGTATTTTTTTCCATTATGCCTATTTTAAACTAGTTTGAGCTTAGATAAACATGAAATGTATTTATGTCATACAGTACCGAAACTATGATCAAATATTTGAAAAAGATTAAATTACTTTACATTAAAAGAACAAAAATTTATTAAATATTTAAATTTAAAATTTTTAAAAAATTACAAACGTGTTAAAGTTTTACATTGGGGTTCAAATATGTTGGTTACTCGTGTATATACTTTGTTAACCGACGGCAGTGGGATGTCCACCGAACCACGTGACTTCTCCATTGAAACTTGGGTTTTTTTTATATTTTATTTGAACGTATGTTTAGAGCTTAGTGAGATCGATTTATAGACGATGAATTGTGTCCTCTATTTCCATGGAGAGACAGAGAGGAAGAAGTGAAAGTTTGATATCCTCTCTTAATTTTGATCGAGATATTTTATAATGATTCTAACAGTGATATTAAGCGTAGGACTATAATGATTACATCTATTAATTGGTTAATAGGACGAATGAATATATTAACCGTCTGACAATATATTTAGTTTTGACAAATTAAGTAAATGTATTATTTTCTCTAGTTTGTGCTTAAATTTCTTTTTACTCACTTTAATACTTAAAGTTTTCATTTTATCATTTTTGTTATGATAATACACCCTATGATATTCTATTTTATTCATATTATCAATAGCGCGACAACACTCGATTAACAATTGACCAATGTATACATCATTCGAGTGTCACATCATCAATGGAACAAATAAAATTGATTTCAATGAATTACACGCCTTTCATTTTTTATTCCGGTTCAAACGTGTTGGTTAGTTGTGTATATGCTTTGTTAATCGATGGCAGTGGGATGTCCACCCAACGCACGACTACTCCCGTGAAACTTGGTTTCTTTTTCTATTCTATTTGAACGTAGGGAAATGAAACTTGAATCAGGATGAATCTAGGGGTGTTGGGAGCGTGGTTGCTACTCTTAAAATGTTCAAATTCCCTTATATTTTAAGTTTTTTCTTTGTATTTTTTATTGATTATATAATTTTATACTCCTAAATTTTTAATATAATTTCTTAAATTTATATCTCTTCACTTAAATTTCTGCGTCCATCCCCACGTCTTGAACAAAGATTCAATGAACATGAGCTGCCCAATTGCTAAATGGTTTCTGATTGAAGCAAAATCAACGGTTCATTTGAGTGTCCAAACTCACAAAAATACCCAGAAATAGTGTGCTCTGCCATCATGAAAACGCCATTGTTGTCCCCTTTCTTCACTTTCTCCTTTGGTAGACTCAGACCTAATTCTCTCCTTTTTACTTTACCAGTGGCAAATGGAATGCAAGTGCTACTTTTTCTGTCTTTTTCTAAACCAATTTATTTAATTTATTAACAAGTGTTTTCAACACATATAGTAAAAATATTATTTACGTTTCACGAATTCATAGCTTTTAAAATACTTAAATGATCTTTAAAGTACGATGAAATGACTTTTTTAATTAGTATCATCAGACCCGACATTTTAAGGGTCCTAGGTCAGAATGTGATGACAATAAGACAAGTGGGGGTTCACACTTGGTTTCCCTCCCAATCATCAAAATGAGATTCACTGGATTACCATGTTTTCGAATTTTTTAAATAAAAAATGATATTTAAAAATATTTTTTAATTATCGGGTTCATGGAATTACCATATTTTCGAGTGTTTGAAATAAAAAAAGATATTTAAAAATATTTTTTAATTATTAAACTTAAAAATATTTTAAAAAATAAGCCCCTCCAAACCTGGGTCCTAGGCGGTCGCCCCCTCGCCTATGCTCAGGGCCGGCCCTGACTATCATCTTGAAAAGTAAACAAAATAGTCATTAAATATATTGAAATGCTTGATAAATTGCATTATAAAATGTGACAATTTTAATAAATTTAAGGATCATTTTATAACAGTTATATAGATTTAATGATCATTTTATAATAGTTTGATAGAATTTAATGATCATCTTATAACTACTTACAAAGTTTAATAATCATTTTTTAATTGTTAAAATTTCAATGTAAAAGAGATTATTTTAATATAGTTTCATTATATTTATGTTTAGGGATATCTAGGAGACTGGGACGATGACAATGAGATGACTGAGAGTCTAACAATGGGTGGATGAGAGTTTAACGACGAAGATAATAAGCTTTGGGATTAGGGATTATGGAGATTTAGAGATTTAGGAGATTGAAGTGATAACAAGAGATATGATCGGCAATGAGGGTTTGATAATGAGTGGGTGGGCGTTCGGTTATGGTAGTTATCATCAATCATAACTTTAAGATTAGAGATTTTATGGATTTCTTTTAGATTTTAGAGAAATTTAAGTTTTTTTAAATATATATTTTAAATTTATTTTAAATAAAATTTAAAAAATGTATAAAATGACACATGTTACTTTTTGAGTGGTTGTCAAATTTTTTTAATCATCATAACAAAATTATCCTTAAATTGATAATTTTAAAAACATTACACTTATTTTAATCCAGAAAAAAATTAATTACCTAAAATAACAAAAAAATCATTGAATTTATTAAAATAATATAAAATTTTCATTATGCGTTGTGATAATTGTAAACTTACAAAATAGTCCTTCTTGACGATGGTCGAATCTGCTGATCTCAGTTCCCTCAATCTCTCCACTTCCATACAATCTCAATGGAAATAAAACTAATGATGGTTTCATTTCATAATTAGTGTGCAAAAGGGAGTAATTAGGAGCATTAATCTATGCATTATAAAAATGATCATTTCATAGTTAATGCTATTTTTTAGGGTAAAGTACACAAATAGTCCCCTCGACTATAGGGTGTTCTTTGTCGAGTCCCTAAACTATTAAAAGTTATAAAGTGACCCTCCGAATATAGGACATTGCTTTGTTGAGTCCCCGACTATTAAAGTTACAAAATAGTAACTCGACTATTTATATGTTCCAAACTAGTCATTTTTTGTTAAAAAATTGACAACATTCTAAGTTGTATGTTAACCGGGGACTCAACAAAGTGGTACCCAATAGTCTGGGGACCATTTATGTACTTCACCCATTTTTTAATACAAGGTTAAGGGTTTAATATTTGTGGTGAACATATCATGCTGTTGAAAACTCCACTTAACTGATTGAATCATCATTTATTTCACTAATTAAATGTTAATTATCATGACATTGTTGAAATTTGAAATATAAACTCTATAGTATATTGTGAAACTTGTGGTTGGTCCTCGTCAACTTGCTTTAACTATGCATATACTGTGGTGTTTGACTTTACCCCACATTCTTATAACATTGTTGATACATATCTAGGTGGAGGAGGAGATGATTGATCTTAATGATGGGAAAATTTGAACCGTTCGATGAAGTTCGAATCGGCCTTTACCCTATGTTCTTATATTCGTATCTGACACTCGTATCTGAATTCGAGGCATAGCTGATGGCATTGATGTTGAGAGCTTCCCCCACATGATTGCAAAGCTAATGACATAAAACGCACAATTTTCCATTTACTCATAGATATGCTTACACCAAACTGACTTACACCACAACAGTGCAGTCATCAATGACAAAAGCTAAATATATTGCAAATTACAACCTGAGGTTACGTCGATAAACAGTCGTTACATCAGTAACCACGATTAGATCCCATTCTTTAAGTAGAGGTTTTCGGTTCGATCTTTGCGAATTCTAGGGTTCTCTTGCCTTGTAACTTGTTAGTCACGTAATGTTTACTGTAATCTCCATGATTGTATCGTCTGTATCTGCATGGATTGTTCTTGTCCACTAGTTCTGCCATCGGACCGATCTCTACTTCGTAGCTTGGAGCGTAGAAAGTGACGATTGAAAGGCGGTCTCTTTCCTTGTGAGTCACGGCTCTGTGTTCCACACTTTTGTATCTTCCATTTGTAAGAACCTGTAACAAACAAGGAAAATAAAATCTCAGAAAGGTTGATAATTTTGGACTTTGTATTAGAAAAAGACATATATCAAGGTTATATGTTCCGGGTTTTCGTTACTTCGATAGTGTCTCCGATGTTGATCACGAGTGCATTCGGAATAGGCTGAACTGGCACCCATTTTCCGTCTTGCAGAATTTGAAGTCCTACTGAGCTACCCTTTCCCTGCTGCAACACTGTAATGGCACTCCCATCTGAATGTGGGCTAAGGCCTAAAACAAGGTCGGGTCTCGAACACGGAGGATAGTAGTTCATCCTCGCCGCTTGAACCGCCACTCCGAACATTTCTTCAAAGACATCCCCTTTTAAGTCTAGGCTCATTGATATATACCTCAAAATATTCTTGCAAAGTTGCCTGATTTCTCTTGAATAAATTTCCAAAGTTTCTCTGCAAAAGGAAATAAAAAAGTTACCAACATTTAGCCAATCCGAGGCTCGAGATTCCGTTTATGGTATCTTTGTTAAGTACCCAAAGTTTGCCGGTTTCGATGGCCAGAGCTTCTGGTTTCTTATACAAGGTGGCTCAACACCAAGGGCAAACATGTTACACCAATCCAGCTTCTGGTTCTCTGAGAAAACAAAGGCTTGACCATAGCCCTGAACTGTCCCTGGTGCCATTGGGTACTTTTGTTTTTCCTCTAAAGGTAACATGAAGAAATCTTTGGCTACTTTTTCGATGTTTTCGGTCACACTCGGGTGGATCCCATGATTCACAACCTGAAAAACAACACGTAATCCGACACTCACACTCGACTTAATCCAAGCTCGAGTAATAACATAGTGTAAAATTCCATGCATTTCAGTACCTGAAAAAATCCCCATTCCTCACAGGCGATCTTGAGTTGCTCGATATGTCTTTCTTGTTCATCTCTATCACTTCCCACAAGCTTAGAAAGATCGATAATGGGAATGTCGTTAGGTGATGGAACGATCGCGGCTAGTTTCGGTCTCTCTGACATGTCTCGGACAAATCTTTGAGGGATTTGTGTTGGTTTGGTCTTTCTCAGTTCTTGGACGTCATCAATATGTCCAACATTAATGGGAAAACTAGGCACTGGAGCCATGAAAACACAACTGAAATGCTGTTAGAAACTGATGTGTAATGTAATAATAATCAGGGTGGAAGCTAAGCTATAGCTAAGAGCTGTTACTTATAGATGGTGAAAGTGAACATTTGTGCACACTTTTGCATTGTTCATGTGACGTTTGTGGGACCAATTTTTATACCATTCACGATTTTCTTAAACCGAAATCGAAAATCGAACGTACGATACGACGATAAGTGTAATATTGTTTTAAAGTATCTAAATCCGACATCCATAGCTACACATATTCAGACATTGCCGACATACCCTGGAAATATTATACCCTTGCCCACTAAACCATATTTGTGACTTGGGACATTGTTGCAGAGATTTTGATCGTTAATTCGGATTTGATTTCCGTAGAAAATACTTCAAAAACAATTAAGTACGTGAGAGAACACACTTGAACGTTAAAATTGCACGTCGAAGACCGATGATCGGACCCGAGGACCCAAGTATGAGGAGGCATGGAATGTAGTCTAGTAGTGGGTAATGGTACAACGAACATTGGTGTATTATTGAAGTTGCTGTGAGTGGCACTAGTAGTGTAGGAGGGACCAATCTTTCAATGGTGCTGAAGTTAGCATGTCCCATTTTTTGTAGACCAAATCTAGTGATTTATTTTCACTTTGTCCTTTGCATAATCTCTTTTTAGGGTTTAAAAATAACAAAATTAACGGACGTGGGAGCAGGACATTAACCGTCTATAGACACCGTTGTTGCTTTTAAACACTAGCTCGATGACATATTGTAAATGGAGACTCGATCCACAAAATACAACTCAAATAGTTATGAGATCAAATTTTATCATATCCCAATCAATATGTTAACGTCCAGCTCAGACTACCATCGGTAATAATTTTGTAATTTTTAATAGTCTAAAAACTAAACAAAATAGCATTCTATAACCGATTAATCATTTATATATTTTTCCCTCAAATTTAAAACTCTAAATTATAAATTATAATTTTTAACATCTAAATCATGAACCCTAAATCTAAATTCAATCATTAAAGGAAATATAACATTGACATTGTCGACACCATTTTTCGCCCGGGCAGGAAAATACCGATACCGACTCGGGGGTTTTCTCTTTGAAAAACGTTTCGAAATGTGAGGAGTCACCACCAATCATTTAAGGTGAGATTGTAACACCGTAAAAACCGAGTGATTTTAATAAAACGTTTTATTTTTATCAAAATACCAAGTTTTAAGGTCTACGAAAATCTAGAAATCGGGCTTGAAAGTCAATTATGCGTGGGGAAGGATTAGCACCCCCACAAGCGCCCAAAAATTGATACCTAGTTGATTACACTATATTTAAAATCAAAAATTTTGAGTTCAATCTTTATTTAACTTGAAAATCATTATGGATGCTAAGTTTGAAAAAGATATTCGTTTATTGAGACCGATAGCATTCGCTCCCAAGCGTAAATGCGGGAGATCAACTATTGTGCCTAATAACTGACTATTGCCTTGTTTTTAGAAAACAAGATGCAGTCTTTGAAAAGGATGTCGACTTATTTCGAAAATTACTAGTAGTCACACTGGAGCATGATTGTGAGAGATGTACCATTAATTCTCTAATAAGTGAACATTGCCTTAAGTTAAAAAGAAAATGCGATCAAACAAAATGTAATCCTAGTTAAGCTAAGGTAAATTAAAGGTTTTTTTTAGCTTAAGGTGTTAAATTGTGAAAATTAAGGAACCTAGGGGCTTAAACTTAAAAAAGTAGGCTCTAATATTAGTCATATTTGATTTTAATAAATTATTGAATCGAATAATCAAGATGATCCCTCGAGCATTTACGCGAGGACCGAATCGAATTATCCCCTAAATTAAAAGACTTGTTTGAAATCTAACCTAAAGTGGAGGCTCAATTTAAACTATTTAATTATGTCAATATTAAAATACTAATCGAAGTTCGAGACTAAAAATGTCAAGATCTAAAAATCGAGTTCTAAAAGATTTAAAAGTTCAAGAACCTAAATTGATAAATTCTAAAGTTGAGGTGTAACACCCCAACCCGTACCCGACTCGGATACGAGTCCGAGATGTCACATTGACATTTCAAAACCTTTATTCTTGTAAAATAACTGAACATTTGAACTTATATTAAGAAAATACAATAATATATTGTTCAATTGTGTTTGGTATAAAATTTTAAGATAAAAACATATTTATGAACAGTGAAATACGGTATGAACATTACCATGAACAGTAATAAACAGTGCTACAGTGCATCGATGCATCAAAAATTCGAAGCAAAATTGTGCATCGATGCACTGCTACAGTGACTTTCGTAAAACGTTCATAAAACTCGTAAAAAGTTAACCGTTCATTACTATACAATTGTCATTTACATAAACACATTTAAAACATTACAAAACTCAATCGTATGACTTTTCAAAACCGATTAGAACATATTGGATTTAATCCTTTATTTACATGCCAACCATTATCCTTATAACAAAATACATACTACACATTTCTTTTCTGATCTGATCTTTGGAAAGGAGAAACTGACCTGTCTTGCATAACTTTTACCAATCTTCCACTTCTCGGAACCTACGCGTGAAACAATCACATGCTAAGTCGTTGACTTAGTGAGGCATATAAAACATATAACAAAAAGCATAAAACATTTCATATATTAAATTACATACATGCACATATACTATCATATTTCTATTCATATATCAAATCCACACATGTACATATATGATTATCTTCTTCCTTATCATTATCCTATTATTATCATTAATACCTTTTATCATATAATCATATACTTATCATTTATTCACATCATATATCATTTCATAAAGAAATACGCTTATTACCATATATTTCATGTAATACAGTTCATATACCTAAAACATATATGCTTTCATATAACCAATACATGAATCCTGTAATTTATTTCGTATAATAAATCACATATGCATATCACCTTCATTATATTTGTTTAATATCTTTATTAGCCCATGTACACCAGTGAGAACTTAAGGTATGTGAGTACATTGAGGTTGTGCACTATTATGCTGTCACCACAGCTCGTATAATTGTCCCGAAGGACCAGTCCATAGGTTTCGAAGAACCTAGGTAATCAGTCCATATGTTCCGAAGAATATAGGTAAACAGTCCATATGTCCCGAAGAACATAGGTAAACAATCCATATATCCTGAAGAACATAAGTAAACCCTCGACCCTTGGCATGCCAACTATACCCCTAGCTCTCATATCACATAACATGGGCATTATCATTTATAACAGTTCACATTACTTATTCATATCCTTTCTCTTATAAACACATATCTTTTCTTTTCAGTCACGTATCACATACGTGTAATCATTGATCTCATAATCACATGTTCATTCTCTTTTGTCACATACCACATGTATGTGTAAACATATATCTAGTATCATATAACACGTATCATAAATACATGTATTCACATAGATCATTTCTCATTTGTTCATGTAACCTTACATGTCATATCAAGTAACATATACCATATGTTGCATTTTCACGTAAGCATGTAAATCATGTAACATATAATAACATACATCCATTTCTATATACTAATGCACGCATAGTAATCACATAACATTTTATAAGTTACTTCTTACCATAATAAATCCATCATTGGCTCATCGCAAGCCAATGTTTGATCAATCACATAAGTACAATTTAAATTGCACTCACCTTAGCCTTGCTTTGATTTGATCCTAATTCTTTGATTGTTCCGAAACTTGTTTAGGCTCAATTTCTACATAAGCATAATTTCTGAGACTATTATCAGAAGCCTAAACCTTATAACTTGATGTTAATAACTCAGGCTAATTTAATAAACCAAATTTCAGCTTTTCTTTTAAGAGTGTATCGATGCACTATGGGTGCATCGGTACACAGAATAGCTTCGAAATAACCATGCATCAATGCACCCCTTAATGCATCGATGCACCTACCCAGAAATCACTGTTCATTGCATGAAAATTCACTCTTTCAATTTCAATTCTTCAAGTTTCATTCCCTTTCATATTCTTAACTCAAATATACATGCTTAAACTCATTTATATCTATTTATTTCATCTTAAACTTCAAAATTCTATTCTCCATATAGAAATCAATAATCATATCAAAATTTCCATGTTATTCAAACTTAATTCTAACACTTCTAACTTCTTATTCTCATAGATGACAAGTCAAATTTATCCTCCAAATTCATTTAAACCTTCTTATTCAAAATTTCACTTAAAAACCCATTTTCTTTAATCTATCATAACTCCTTTATCTTTTGATTTTAATATAACTTAAGCTTTCCTTAAGCTTAGTTATCATCTAAGGATCAAAACCCAACCTTTAAATTAACAAATAATCAACTAATGAGGAAACTTACCTTTTGCTTGAGCTTTCACGTAGAGAAGAGAAGAAGATGAAGAAGAGAATTGCTTGGAAGCTTATCTCTTCAATCATTCTCCAAATGGGTGTTATAATACCCATTAATTATTATTTAATTATTTTCCTTATTCAATTACTCATTTGCCCTTTGACTCTTTCAATAATTACTAACAACCCTTCAGGAAATACTTTCAAATAAATCATTGAACTTTTTAACTTTTCCACTTTAATCACCAAATTCTGAAATTTTACAATTTGATCACTAACCCGTAGTTTGTGATGTTACATGAGGATTAATTAAAAATCTATCTAAATTATTAAACCTAGAGTTTTTAGAAAATATTAATTATTAATAAATTTTAAAAACTGAGCAATCGATTCGAGTAATCGGACATCGTATGCGAAAACTCGACTTGAATCTCTCCCTAATTATTAACTAAAGTGTCGTCCTAATTTCTAAACTTGATTCGAATATTAATCTAATTTAAAACTAAATCTAATAAATAAATTTTCAAACAAAACAATTAATAATAAACATAATTAAAATAATTAAAAACAACAAATAAATAAAAAAGTAAAAAAAACATAAAATAAAAAATAAAATAAGTACAAGGACCTA